CAATGATAAATTGTCATAAAAACAAAAAACCTGGCCTAACAAGTAGTGTATAGAAACACAGTTTAAGAAAGTTATTTTATTAGACCTGTAGGTTTACTAGTAATAATAATAAGGAAAGGAATGTCAGTAGCTACATCAATGAGTATAGAGAATAATGGATTATGTTAATAACTTTTATGCTCTCAAAAAATTCCTTTTCAAAGTTCACTTGAAATGAAGGGGCAGCATTAATTTGATTCAAAGAACAATAAATCACTAGATGATGTGCTGTTAAAAAGCTTAATGTGCACTATTAGTTTTCTTTGTCGATCTATAACACTATTGATATTTAAAGTAATTATAAAGCAGTGTGCATAGATAACAAAAGTCCAGTTAATAGATCCAAGAATACTAATCTCTACTTTTACTTAATTGAAGAAAATAGACCTCAGTGCTTTAAATTGCCTTTTCTCATTTTCATTAAAGGATACAATTTATGAATAAATTTCTCTTAGTTTTTAAGAGGAAAAGTACAATCTTCATTAGAGCTCTGACTTAAATTAGCTTTTCATTCATTTTTTGATACCTCCTTCTAAAATTACCATAAAACTATTAAACACTCATTTCAATTGCACTTGAGAAATGAGTTTCTTAAAATACTGCTTTGCATATATCTACATTCCTTCCCTTTCACCTTTGGAACAGAAATTGAAACTACTTAACATTAACCATGAGGTCCTTCATTAGCTTTCCTGTTTGTTAGTCTTTTTGAATACCACTATTCCCTAATTGGAGTCCCAGATGGATAAAATGGTCAACATACTCAGCTACTAACCAAAAGTTTGGAAGTTCAAGTCTACCCAGAGGTGCTTCCGAAGAAAGTCCTGTAATCAACTTTCACAGACTGAGCTTCGAAAAACTTAATGGATCACAGTTCTGCATTCATACACATAGTATCCTATAAGTCAGAATAGACTCAGTGACAACTGGTTTTTATTTCCTGGTCTGACAGATCTTCTAAAGTCAAACTCACTCTCTAAACATGTCAGAGCACCCCTACTCTCTACTCACTGTTCAGGCCTGAGATTGCTTCCTTGCTCCTTTCTAATCAAGCCTTGAGAGACAAGCTGTACCCCAATGTCCTTAATAAAGTATTCCTATTTATCTTTCTGGAATATTTGTAACCCAATTTTCTTCTTTATATCTGTACATAAATCAAACTCTATTCTTCTAAAAGACGTGCTTCAAGTTTAGTGATTTTTTTTACCCCTAAGAAGTAGAACTGTGTTCTACACATAGAAGTGCTGAAGAAGTAGATACTGATGATACCATTTGACAGTCTGGAGTGAAAATTTTTCATAAATTGAAATTAAACATAAATGTAATATTTGAGTTTGGCAGAGGATCATTTTTCTAGTTACTAGTAAGATGAATGTAGAATTATTGTATAATTGCTTACTATATCATATAATTGAGCCCTGGTGGGGCACTGTAGGATAAGAATTGGGCTGCTAATCACAGGGTGGCTGGTTCAAACCCACCAGCTTCTCCTTGAAAACCATGTATAGGGTTGCCATGAATTGGAACAGACCTGATGGCACTTAACAACCACAACAATAGCATATCATAACCTAAATTTTAGATTCCTATTATTTTAGGTAACATGGACAGAGAACTTCCAGAGGTTCAAGCCTGATTCAGAAGAAG